AGAAACCCCACTATTGTTCCGCCTCAGTTCCGTGTTTCCTGCTGGAGCAGCTCCTTTCCCACTTCTTTTTTTTTTTTTTTTAAGATTTTATTTATTTATTTGAGACAGAGAGAGGGAGAGAGTGAGCACGCAGGCTCACATGTGCAAGCTTGTGGGGGGTGGGGGAGGAGCAGGAGCTGGGTCAGGGAGGAACAGAGGGAGAAGGAGAAGCAGACTTCCTGCTGAGCAGGGAGTCTGAAGCGGGGCTCGATCCCAGGACCCTGAGATCATGACCTGAGCCGAAGGCAGACGCTCAACCATCTGAGCCACCCAGGCCTCCCCCATTTCTGTCCTCTTGACCCAGGTCTGTTTGTCCTTTCTGCCATGGGTCCTGGAGCCCTGCCCCTGGAAGAGCATGGCAGGCGTGTACTGGATTTTCATCTGGGCTCGCGGCTCAGGGCTCAGCGCAGGCCTGTCCCAGACCTGGAATAGTGACCCTGATGACTCCATAGACTCAGAGGGAGCAGTTGGTTACGTTTCCTAGGCCTGTGCTTAGGGTCCTTCCATCTCTCTCCAACCATCTGGGTCACTCTGTTCCAAGGCTGTCACAAGAAATTACTGCAGCTACTATGTTCTGGAATTGTCTTTGCCCTGAGCACTTGGGCTCTGCGCTGGCAGCCCCAGAGGAATGCTTCCTTGGGATGTCTCTGGACTGGGAGATAGATCTCCCCATCTGTGGCAGGGAGAGTTAGAACCCCTCAGGGGGAGCCCTTTCCCTCCTCTCCTGATATAGGGACCCCTGTATTCCCTGGGAGCCATTGAGGGCTGGAGGCAGAAATGGTAGGGTAATTGGCAGCAGAATATTCCTCTGGGGCTCCACGCATTCCCCAGTGTGGGGGAAGAGAGTTATTCATTCCTTCCTACAAAGACTTATCGGACAGTTCTTATGTGGCAGGCACCGTTGGAAGCACTGGGGATATAGCCATGAACTAGCAGACTATTTCTCTGCCTTGAGGAGCTAATATTCTAGTGAAAGGAGACAGACAATAAACAATGGGTATATGTAAATTATACAGTGTGTTAGAATCTGGTAAGTGCTAATGGAAAAATAGAATATGTTAAGGGGGGCTGGGCATGCTGGGGTGGGAGTGGAGGTTCTTTGAAATTTTAAATGGGGTATCAGTGTAGGTTTTACTGAGAAGGTGACATCTGAGCAGACTTGAAGGAAGACAGGGAGAGGTCCATGCCTGTATCTGGGGGAAGAACATTCTGGGCAGAGGGAGCAGCCAGTGTTGCCGGAACAGAGGGAACAAGGAAGAGCAGAAGGAGATGAGAGCAGAGGTGGTGGAGGGGGCAGACTGTGCACCAGCAAAAGGCCCGCAGGCCTCACTGGCGAGAAGGAAGAAGTTGCGGAGCCAGGGACTGCTATGGTCTGACAGTTTTTAACCCCACCCCTCTGCTCCTGTGTTGAGAAGAGACCAGAGGGACAGGGATTAAAGCAGGGAGATGGGTAGATGCCTACCCAGGGAGAGGTGATAGTGGCCTGGACCCCAGTGGAGGTACTGATGGTGAGAATGATCAGATTCTGGATCCCTTGTGCACGGAACCCTAACTGGAAGGCCTGATGGGAGTGCTCGTGGTGGGTGAGAATGAGGAGTCAAGGGGGACTGGAGCTGTTTGGCCCGTGCATCTGAAAGACTGAAGTTGTACCATTTGAGATGGGGAGGACGGTGGCAGGAGCAGGTCTGGGTCTGTTAGTTGGGGACATGTTGAGTATTAGGGGTTGTCCTGTCCTGACTTTCCAACACGGTGCTAAGGCCAGCATGAGGAGACCAAAAGGGGCTGTTCTGTTCTTTACTTTCTCTGGAGGCCACACAGCCTGCCCATGTCTTGGTGCCCCCTCCATGGTGCCACCTGAGTCACAAAGCCTGGGATGCCCATTTTGGCCAGGTTGGCTGTGGAAATTTGCCATCACAGGCTCCCTTCGTTGAGCTGCTTATTCAGCATCGAAATTCCTTCTGCACCATACCCAGCAGCAGCTCTGGGGGGCTCAAGACATGTGAGAGACCCCGGTTTGTCTTCTGGCACTTCGGAGGATATTGACCATCGCTAAGTTGCGGAAGAAATAGCACTTATTGGCAAATGAACATTTATTGAGTGCTTACTATATGCAGTGCCCTGTGCTAGACCAGACAGATAAAGGAAAATAGGTAGGAGAATGCCATCCAAGAACTAGAAGGAGCCCTGCCCCCAAAGGGCTTACAGTCTTGCCTGGGAGGCACTGCATATACACAGAATCACCAGATGAAAGCAATATTTGCAGGCACAAAGTGGGGATGTGGGAATGGATGCTGCTGGGACAGCTCAAAGCCTTCTCTGTCCCCAGCTTGAGGACCTGGAAGCCTGTCCACCTGCCTCCATGCTGCCTGGCGCCTGTCTGGTTTTGGGTGTCTGACCTCCATCCTCCTCCAGACTAGGAGCTTTTCAAGGGCAGAAACCAGCCTGGTGTTCTTTGTCCTTTTTTCTCTACCCTGCTGCGGCCCTCCCCAAGGGCCTGTGTCCACCACTAGACAGAGGCCTGGGCTGGACAGCCTCAGTTGTGTGCTCTGGTTTCTGCCAGGGGCGCCCAGGGGGCAACTAGGACTTGCCCCAGACCAGATCTGGTCTCTCCTGAGCTCCGAATGGACAGAGCATGGGATTTTGCAGTCAAATGCTCTATCCCTGAGCTATACCCCCAGATCATGGGATTTTTGAATAAGAAGGCGTGAGTTCAAGTCTTGAGTCCACTACATACAGCTGTGTGATGTTAGATCATTCTCTGAAACAGTTCCTTAATCTATAAAATGGGAAGAACAGTATTTGCTCTGCCTGTCTCACCGGGTTGGGAGTTAATCAGGGGGGATGATAGGGAGTGCGTTGGAAATGCTAAAACCCTGCGGACCTGGAAGCTGCCCTCCTTCCCTAACCTGCCTGAGGTTTTAGCACAGAGGTTGGGACGCAAGAGATGCTGGCTAGGTGTCAGGTCCCCTCCATCCTCGTCATTTTGAATCGGCTTTGACCTCTGACCTTAGTGACCCCAATCTGGGCAATCAGGGCAGGAAGTTGTGGCGATGTCCCATTTGGTTTTAGGTGAGGTGCAATCCAGGAAAGGGGATAGACATAAAGAGAAATTCTTGGCACCTTCTAGGGGGATCTGTGGGGGTGAGGTGGGGTGGGGATGAGGTGCCTGAGACACATGGAGGCTTGGCTCACAGCTCAATGCCTTGCTGCCTTTGAACTTCGAGAGCAGTACAAAGTACAGCCCCAGAGGTCACTTCGGTCTCTGATACAACCTCTCCTCTGGTAGTGAGGCCAGGTGGCTGTCACCAGCTGTCGGGGGGTTCGGGACCCTTTTTTCCATAGCACGTATGGGCCAAGGCAGCCTTTTTCTGACCCCAGAGGGAACTTTGGTCAAGGAATACAGAAAAAAGCATAGATGAGAAGGTAGGCACACTCCCAGAGATGTTCCTCATATACCGTCCATCTTTGAAGGGAGTGGAAGGCAGGAAGGGGCTGGAGACTCCGGTACACTGGGTGCTCGGTGCCTTGTGAGACAGACACCGACAGAAGCCTAGAAGCAGGGAGGCCCCAGTGCATGGAGAAAGGGGCTCAAGATGTGATTCTGAGGTTAGCTATGCAGCAGACTGGAGAGGGACGGAGAGAATGGAGGGTGTCTGGGTGATGGGAGGAGGAAAGTGCTAGAACAGCTAGGGTGCACTCAGGGCCAGGAGAGGTGAAGAGGCTGGACCAGGATGGGGTCACCCCCAAACCCATCTCCTTCTGCCTTGACTCTCAGGGCCATCCTTTGCACTGGCTGCCAACTAAAGAAGGTAAAAGAGGCTGAGGATCAGGCCCCTTCTGTGCTCTACCCGCAGGAGGCGGAAATAATGAAATAATCCCAATAATGCGTGCTAATGGTATGAGGAATTACAGTTCACACAGCATCTTTACATGCATCATCTCACTTAATCCCACTTAATCTCATTTGAGAACCATTGCACTGGCCTGGAAATGTAGAAGCCCAGACTCTAGACACAGACCTGCCTCTGCGTGGACAAGTCATTTCCCTTCCGTGGTCCTGCGAGTGCTAGGCTGCTCCGGCCCCCAGTAACTGAACTAGGGTGGAAACCTGAAGGGAGGGAGAGGAAGAGAGATTCCTGGGGAGCGGGGCCTGTGGCCGCCCGCCTGACTGCCCTGGCCAGCCAGCCATGGATGCATGCCGGGAGAGAGGCCTCACTTGTGAAACGGAGTGTCTCCTTTCACCAGGTGTCCAATTGCAAATCTCCCCCTCTCCCAAGACAAAGGCCGGGCCTGCAGAGGGCTTTTGTTTTCTCTGCCACAGGCTAATCTCTGGGTCTGGAGCACCCTGGAGATGGGGGTCTCCTGCACACATGTAGGGCACGTACACACACATACAGGCATGCACACTCGTATGCTGGCTTCCTTCCTTGAAGAGGTCTTCCCTCAGGGCAGAAAGGAGGTCCTTGGCCACCCAACCCTCCCTTTTCCCGGAGGCCACTTTTGGGGAAGCCATTCTCTGGCTGATAGTCTCTGTCTCTAGCAATGGAAATTAGCAAACCTTGGGGCCCAGCGCCGCAGCTTGGGGGAATTTTCCAGGAGAGGCAGGGTAGGGGTTGCCCATCAGGGCCCTCCCTTCAGCCCTCTCAGGGGCCTCCAGACCCTCCCCCTCCCTTCTCCTGAGGAGCACTGTCTTAGAGCTCCTGGGGAGGATGGGGCTGCAGAGGGAGGAGATTTATTGCCCTGGGGGGAGGAAGGGGTCAAGAGGGGAGGGAGAGGTTGCCAGCCAGGGCACTCCCACCACCACAGGCCCAGCCACTCACACTCAGGAGCATGCACCTCCGTGCACTTGGGGACAGAGAGACACTGGGGAGGAACACACACTTGCACACTAGCAAAACCTGGCACCGGTCCCAGATCCTCCTCCCCCGCCGAACCCGGTGCGGCCTCTCCAGAGCCTTCCTCTGCCTGCTGACCTTCCCTCCCCAAGCGTCTAGCTCCCTGCAAGGGGCCAAGCATCCGGACTGCTCACTGCCTGCAGCCTGGGGGACAGGGGGTCTGCCGGGCTCACCGCCACCGCCTTCGGACCTGGGGACAGGAGGGGCGGGCTGGGCTGGGCGGCGGGCGGGCAGTCCCTCGGAGCTCGTCCCCCCGGAGCCGGGGCCGGGGCCTCGGGGCCGGGCGGGCGGCGCGCTCAGGCCTTGCTGCCCCGCGGCTGGCTCTGCGGCGAGTGCAGCTCCACCGACTGCCGCCGCCGCACCTCGCGCTCCTCCCAGTCGGCGTCGGGCTCCTGCCCCTTGAGCACCGCTAGGCGCTCGGCCAGGCTCTTGGCGGGCGGGAACAGGACGTAGTTGTAGAGGAGGGAGCCCAGGACGGCGCCCACCAGGGGTCCGATCCAGAAGACCTGGGGCGGGCGGAGAGGCCGGTCGGGGCGGGGATGGGGTGGGGGGGCGAGCCCCGACTCCCCGCGCCCCGCAGCCTCCAGACGCGCTCCCCGCACTTGGTGTCGGAAAGGGGGTCTCCCACGCGATTCATGGACTAGTTGGGGGGGGGGCGGGTTGGCGGGCTTAGTAATGATGACAGCGGCTGTTGGGGCAGGCGGGCTAGTTGCGGGTTAAGGGTGCGAATTCCAAGCGGACTGCCCGGGTGACCAGAGGCAATTTGCCCACCCTGTCTGGGCCTCAGTTGCCTTTCACTGTGATAATGCCTACGTCCTAGGGTGGTCGCGAAAACCAACAAAGCACTTAGAATAAGGCCTGGCCCCTGCTCAGGCTAGATGAGTGCTGAGTAATACAAAGGTCTGCGTTAGCTAGTACAAATATTACCATTTACGGGGTTCCAGCCACTGTGTGAGCTGTTTTACACCTCACTTAGGAACATCACTTAACTCTTCCGGAAAGCCAATGAGACAACAACTGCTATTATCCTCACTGAGGGATGTGGAAAGGAAGAACGAAGTGTTCTGCATCAGACCCGAGGGAGGAAGCCCAGGCTCCGCAGGAGGAGCGCGGAGAGTTCGCTGCGCTCCCACCCCCTCTATTCCAGCCCTAGCGGAGATGGGTTTCTGAGGGAGGGGAAGGCGGGGGAGGTTTCAGCCATTACCCAGTGGTCGTCAAACTTGCCGGTGACAACAGCAGGAGCCAGGGAGCGGGCGGGATTCATGGAGCAGCGAGTGTAGTGGATCTACAAGGGGAGACAGGGGTCAGGGAGGGAAGAAGGCAGCTGATGAGGACAGCGCAGGGAGTCCTTGTGCCCCTCTCTAACCCTTGCCCTCAACTTCAAGGGAACCCCTGTGATGGGCAGTTAGTCCGCATAGGTACAGGGTTCTGTATTCATTGGAGGCTGGAGTGAGATCTGGGGGGTATCTGGGAGTCAGACCTTCTGGGGTGGCCACATGACTGTGCCTCTGGGGAGTTCTGTGTATCTGTCCCCTCGGGGTCTTTGTGTCTGTCACTTTTGGGGGTCTGTGTGTCTATTTCTAGAGTGGTCTGTGTGTCTGCTTCTTTGGGGAAGGTCTGTAGGTCTGTCCCTGGGGGGACTAGAAGCAGTGGCCCTGACCTACCCCAAGGAGGTGCCCCAGGGCCACGGAGAAACCAATGGAGAGCGCGGGGGTGCCCAGGTTGTCTCCACGACGCTCATCTGTGGAAGCGAAGATGCAGAGCACCAGCTGCAGGGTCAGGAAGAGCTCCACGGTGACAGCCTGGCCTGCTGTGGTGTTGTTGCTGAGCTGGGGAAAGAGAGAGGGTGGGTGGGTGCACGCTGAGCGGGCTCCCTACTCTGGCTCCATCTTCCCACCCATCTGCAGTCAAGGCTCCAGAGAGGCTTCTGGGCTGGGACTGGAACACCGGGCCTCACCAGCCACCTTAGCTCAAATGAATGATGGCTTCTTCCTGGGCTGTGGCCCAAAGGTAGGGGGATGGACCCCAGGACTGCCGGTGGTCCCTAGGCCAGAGGTAGGAAAACTGACTCTACAGTCCGTTAGATTTGGGGGCTGTGATTACGTGCCTAATATGAGAGGCAAAGGATGCTGAGGTCCACAGTTTGTTTCCAGAACAAGAAGGGAAGAGGTCTTGACTGCAGCAGGAAGCTTTAGGGCAGATAACAGAAAGGCCTTCTTTGCTCTCTAGGCCATAAGATACTACTGGTATAATGAGAGGCCTGCGCCCTTTCTTCATGTGGGCAAAGGGCCCCCAGGGAAGGTCTTAGGACTTGGGTCTGGGACAGTCCTAGTGCGAACCCTCACCCCATGAGCCCAGTGTACAACTCTTTCCTTTCACCCTTGCCTGTCCCCCTGGATCTTGCCTGTTCCACACTATGCTTCAGGCCTGAGTTTTGCCCCGTGGATTTGTTCCCTGCACATCCTGTGGAGGTTGGGGTGGGCGCGCTGGTGCCCTGTGCTGTGGCAAGGGGGCCTGTGGACCAGGTGGGGTGCCCATGGTCCTGGCAGACCCTGCCTTGGGTAATGAGAGAACTTGGGGCCGAGCAAAGAGGTGATTTCATAACTGGGCCGCACCCAGCACTGGATTTCTCCCTGCGTTTTGTCATCCTGTGCCCTACACCCTGCCCTCAAGCACTGGGCACTGCACCGGTTGGCACTAGGAGAGCTCTCAGCTCCCACACTTCTTCTCCAGGCCCTGAACCCCCATTCTTGGGTCCTAGCCATCGGGCTGGCACCCTTGCGTCTCTAGGGTCTAACCTCAGGCCCCCCACTCCCATCGTCCAATGTTAGAGCCTCTAGTGGGGGGCAGTGAAAAGAGCTTTGAAGGCAGATATTTTGGAGGCCTGTAACTTGCCATGGGGCCCTATTTACTACTTCAGCCTCAGTTTGTCCTTCCGTAAAATGCGGACAACATAACAGATTCCGGAGGACTGTGTGAGGACTGGAAATGACCAGGGCAGAGCCCCAGCCCCATTCCCACTGGTAAATGGCTTTTCTAAGGGAGAGGTGTGGACACGGATTTGGTGTCAGATAGCTCTGCATCCACTTCCAGGTGCTGACATCAGCTAGTTCTACGATTTGAGTCAATTGATTGTGGGGCCTCAATTTACCAATCAGGGTAGAGGGTTCACAGAATTCATCTTACAGTGTTGCACCAAGAAATAGGTGATATCTGGCCTGGCAAAGAGCAGGTGCACATCAGTGGTAACTTCCTGGCGGCTAGGCTGGCCTTTCCAGGGACCTCAGAGGATGCCTGGAACAGTCTTGGGGGTCATCTAGCTTTCTAGCCTCAGGGCAACTCAGCCCCACTGCTGCACCATTCCAGCAAGGCAGGGTTCTCCCTAGTTCCTCAAGATGGTAAATGCTGAGCAGTAACTTGGGGGACCCCCTCCAGACCCTTTCCTCTGAGGGCCTCAGTTAACTGTCAAATGATGGAGGAGGAGGAGTGAGTGTCCCCATGGTCCCTTAGCATTCCCATTGCTCTGCTATCAGAGGAGATTCTCTAGTCACACATTTACTTTCTTGGCCATACTCTTAGGAAGTTCCTCCGGCAGTCTAACTGGACCTCTCCTTACTGGGAACAGAACTAATTTCATTCTCACTGGAAATAGTCACACTCCTCAATCTGTCTCCCACCATGGCCACTCTAGCCTTTCCTCATCCCTGAGCCTCAGCCTCATCATATTTTCCATTTTGAAGAAGAAAAAAGTTCCTCAATTGGGACACCTCTGCCCCTTGCATGAGGAAGGGCCACCTGTGCAAAGGAGGGGGTGGCCACAGAAACCGTGTAGGACTCTTCAGAGACATCAGCGCTTTTATCCAGTGGCCCAGGGAAAGGCAGGTCATCGAGGCACGAAAGGGGCTCTTGCGGCCCTGGCTTGGGATGGGGGTGGAGAGAGACGTGTATTGAGGGGACACAGACTCGGCCTCCCCACCCATGACCTCGGATGCCAGGGTGCCGCACAGACCCAGGAGAGAGGGAGGGCAGGAATGCGGAGGCGGAGGGGCTCCCAAAGTGCCTAAGGTGTCCGACTAGCCACTGCTCATGTAATCAGCAGTTAGTCACGGGCTCTGGGGACCTTCTCCAGGGTCTGGAGAGACCTTGCCTCTTCAGCTTTCCCTTGAGTTCTGGTGCTTTCTCTGGTATTGACATAGAACTCTTAGCCCATCCCTTCCCTTCTCTGAGCCTTAGTTTCCTTGTGTGCTAAACAAATCTTAGTTGATCGCTCAGGGAGGGGACACTGGTCAGGTGGAAAGATCATGAGTTTTGCAGTCAAGCCTGGGTTTGAAGGCTGGCTTCTGGCACCGTAAGCAATGGATACACCCATCCCTACCTCGAAGCTCGTTGTGAGCTGTCAACGTGTGGCTTGTGAGGAGCCCCTGCTCTGAGGCTCATACGAGGATGCTGGAGAAATACTGGATCCTTCTTCCCTCGAGAAGACCCTTGGGACTAGCACTCTGAGGTTCCTCCCAGTTCAGAAAGCACATCTGCTTTGGGACTTTGTCTTCTGCTGAGTTCTAGCCCAGCCCTCACTGTAAAGCAGGCGTCAGGTCAACCCTGATGCTGCTCTTCCCCCATGAGACTCAGGGCAGAAGGTGCCAGCAGACCCGCCTGGATCCTGCCTCTGCTCAGACCTTATTGCTCTTTCTACCCCGACTCCCTTATGGCACCTGTGTTCCTGGCTCCAGCATCTCTCCCTCTCTGCCTCCTCCCCGCCCTCCATCTTTCTCTCTCCCCACCCAGACCCTCACCCAGATCTGGTCCCCCCCATCTCACCCTTTCCGAGGGACTCCCCAGGACCTGCCCCTTGGGGAAGGGACAAAATTCTGGCTACTCACTGCATTCACAGCCAGGTCCCCTCGAATGTCGGGTGGTGTGATCTCATGGAGCAGAGCGGCCCCTGCCACAGCCCCCAGCAGCTGGGCAGCCACGTAGAAGGCAGCTCGGAGAAAGGAGACGTGGCAGCCCACCAGGCAAGCCACGGTCACGGCAGGGTTGATGTGAGCCCCGCTGACGTGGCCCAGAGCCTGCACCAAGGTCCCAATACCCAGGCCGAAGGCCATGGCAATCTGCAGCACAGAGGGCAGGGCCTGTGGCCAGTTGAGGGCCGAACCGAGGCCGAAGAAGACGAAGAGGAGTGTGGCCAGGAACTCGGCAAACACGGCCCTGGAGAAGGCTATGGACCGGAGTTCCCACATGCTGTGCCCTCTGTGGGCTGGCCCGGCAGTCACAGCCGAAGGAGGCTTGTGGGGCACGCTCTCTCTCTCTCTCTCTCTCTCTCTCTCAGGGTCTCTGGGGAGGCTGGGCTAGGGACATTTATAGGGTTCTTCCATCCTGGATTGGGACACGTGAGGCGGAGGTGGAGTCTGGGTCCATAGTTGTCTCTCCTATGGCTGCCCCCACCCCCCGCCCCTGCCCACCCGCATGCCTATCACCCCATCTTGGCCTTCACAGCTGACTAATGTTCCCCATTAATAAGCTCCAGATAAGGACTGACGTCCCCTGATTTTCCGTGTTTGTTCCCTGGTTCCCCTAGGGCTGAGGCCCCAGGGCTTCCTCCACCCCCACTGGTTCTGTGAGTGGGGCTTCTCTGAGGGGATGATGCCAAATCCCCTCCCTCTGACTCCAGCTATTGGTCAAGGCAGGGACAACACCTCACCCAAGACTGACCATGAGGGAGGATGTCCATGCTACTCCTTCTAGCGATTGGGAAGTTCTTCCTGTTGTTGACCTTCAATTATTCCTTCTTGAGGGGGATGGAAAACAACGGGTTGGCTTGTGAGGTGAACCTTCCAAGGCATAAAGATTTCGTCTCTTCTGGGCTCACTTTCTTGTAGTCAATTACCCAGAAGTTCTTAAGGTTCATGTCCTCCCTGGAACTCCAGCCAAAAGGCAGCTCCCGTAGCCTGGAGGGAGGGGGTGGTGTCAGTGGCAGGGGGACCCTGGTCCTGGGTGATGGGATCAACATGCAGTTGCCTGAGGAAGCTTCCAGCTTCCATTCCAGCATCACCCTGGTCCATCTCTGTGATTTACCCCTTCTTGTCCGTCTCTGTAAACAGGGGATAATAAACCTACATGGGGTTGGGGTTTGGATTAAATGAAATAATGTAAAGTGCTCAGAGCCTCACCTGGCCCACAGTCAACCATCAATTAATATCAGCTATTATTTTTTTTTTAAGATTTTATTTATTTATTTGACAGAGAGAGACACAGCGAGAGAGGGAACACAAGCAGGGGGAGTGGGAGAGGGAGAAACAGGCCTCCCGCCGAGCAGGGAGCCCGATGTGGGGCTCGATCCCAGGACCCTGGGATCATGACCTGAGCCGGAGGCAGATGCTTAACGACTGAGCCACCCAGGCGCCCCAATATCAGCTATTATTAATAGCGTTATTTATTTATACTCTGAATACTCGGAGGAGGAGAAAAGGTCTCCCTAAACTCACATAGAGTGTCCCAGAAGCTGTGACAGGTTGTAGGCACCCCCTGGAGCTCACAGCCACCCAAGCCACATGGGGAGGACATTTCTGTGAGGCAGTGAGCTGTGCAGGCTTAGGGAGGCCACAATGATCCAGAAGTGACTCTTTGGCCTTGCTGCCCACTCAGCCCAGCCTCTGGGCAATGCCACCTCCCACATCAGTGCTGCCCTGGCCTGGGATCTAGGAGACATTTAGGGCTGGGAGTCCCCAGGCCCCACTCCCCTTGCTCTTCCCTCATCCCTCTGGCCCTGTTCCCTCTCCTGGGGACCCAAACACAGGGTCAGGCTCAGAGGGAAGTTAGGAGGATTGGCTCCAGACCCTGCTCTACCTCCTGTCCAGCAGGACCCCAGACAAATCACAGTCGTAGGGACAGAAGTCTGGGAGGGATCGGAGACTGCAGAGTGGAGCCGTTTGTGTGCCCTTAGATGGACCATGCACCCCTTCTGGTCTCTCCTCTTTGGTCAAGGTGTTTATGATTTTGAGAGACGGAGAGAGGGAGTGGCCTGCTGACCCCTGATTCTGGGCAGGACCTGCCCTCACCTCGTCAAGTGAAAATCTCTTACCTCCCCATAAACCCGGAAGTGTCACGGTTTCTTTCTGTAAGCCCATTAATTCCCAACCCAAGTGTGTGTGTGTGTGTGTGTGTGTGTGTGTGTGTGTGGTCATTCAGTCACAGTCATAAATTTAGAACCCAGTGGGATCTTAAAGGTCATCTAGCCTACGGATCTCACTTTACAGATAAGAACCTGCAGTCCAGAGAGATTAAGACTTCCTCACGTTCGGGTCTGGGCCCAGGACTGGGAGGAGGGGAGAGCAACAACCATGACTGGGCCCTACGTGTGCTGTGCATTCCTTTTGAGCCAGGGAGGAAGAAGGTGTACCTGCCAGAGCCCGGGGTGGGAGGGTGTGGGGGGTGGAGTTCAAGCTGTGGGTCCTAGTGGGCAGTGGAGCTCCCCCAGGCGAGGACTGCATTTTGTCTACGGTGACCACGACGCCATGTCTCACGAGGTCCAAGGTGCCATCAGTCGTATGAGGCATCACTAATTAGTATTGCAAAAATGCCTTCTTGGCGATAGATTGTGGTAACAGTTGCACAAAAATGTGTATGTACCTAACACCACTTAACTGTGTAGTCATAAATGGTTAGAATGGTTTTATGTTATGCGTATTTTGCCATAATTAAAAATAATTTTAAAAAGCCATGAAGGAAAACGACCCAAAAAATGCTTTCTTACCAATTTTGGTTTGTATCTAATGAAGGAAATCTTTTGGATTGATTTAAATATCAGTTTTTTTTTTTTTTAAGTCAAAATCACTCTTTTGCAATGATCGAAAAGGAAATGATCGGTAAAGCAAACTGGCTAAGATAGTCCCCAGATGTCTTCACATTCGGAGTCCACATTTCTTAAATCTCTTTTTGATTCGGAGCACTCAGGGTTTTCCTACACGGCATCACCCTCTGTGCCATCAGGAGTGTAGTGACGTACCATTTCCTACAAGAGTGTCCGCGATCATGTCCAGAATTTCTTTCCAAGCTTCAGACACTCCTTCCGTAGGCTCTGCCACACGTGTTTTCTTGCTTCACACGTGACTGGCAATCATCTGGCCCTGGTCTCGGTAATCGGACATAACACAGTTTCATCTACCTCTGGGACTCTTCCTTTCCTAGGTCCTGTAAGACAGCTGGCTGTTGTTTCGTGAGAAAATATGAGTGTGTGTGTCATCTGCTGGTGGCCTGAAGGAGGGGCTGAGACCCTGGAAAAGCGGAGGTAGGAAGAAGGTGTGTGCGGGCAGCCGGGCCAGCAAGGATGCCCCATGAGGGAGTGCAGGGACAGAATTCAGGAGGTGCCGTCTGACAGTTGACATAAGGTGTGTTTCCTGCTCTGAGCTGAGCTGCAAATGCCCTCCATTCTCCCCACAAGGTCAGTAAAAGTGGGTCACACTCCACAGCCTGTGAGGCTGGGACTTCAGGGAATGAGGGAAAAGGGACAGGGCCAATCCATGGCCAGGTGAAGTGGAACAGAGCAGAGAGAGCAACTCCGGGCAGCAGTGGCGGGAGGGGTGGGAGACTGGGGCTCAACCCTGTAGGAGGCATGAGAAGTACTCTAGGGTGTCAAGTCCGTACAGTTCAGGGACAAGGTGTAAGCCATTGGATTTTTACATAGGGTTACAGATAAAATACAGAATGCCTGAGATGTTTGAATTTCAGAAAAATAACAAATACATTTTTAGCATAAGTATATTCCAAGCAATATTTAGGACATACTCACACTGAAAAGTTATCTGTTATCTATAATTGAAATTTAACTGGTTGTCCTGTATTTTTATTTGTTAAATCTGGCAACCCTATTCTATTTGAAAGCGAAGGGGGAACCCAGAGGACTGAAGACCTGGGGACAGCTGGGTTTCAGACTAAGTCTTACAAGGACTTTTGGGGTTAAGTCTCACTAGCCCCATTTTATACAGGAGAAAACTAAGGCAGAGAGAGGTTGTAAAAGTTGTCTGGGATCACAAGTCTGGTAAGTGGAGGAAATGAGCTATGGATACAGGTCTGTCTGATACAGAAGTTCAGGCTTAAAGGAATGTTGAAAAAGAAAAGCAAAGCTGGTGGCATCGCAATTCCGGACTTCAAGCTCTGTTACAAAGCTGTCATCATCGAGACAGTATGGTACTGGCACAAAACCAGACACATAGATCAATGGAACAGAATAGAGAGCCCAGAAACGGACCCCCAACTCTATGGCCAACTAATCGTCAACAAAGTAGGAAAGAATTTCTAATGGAAAAAAGTCTCTGCAACAAGCGGTGTTGGGGAAATTGGACAGCCACATGCAGGAGAATGAAACTGGACCATTTCCTTACACCACACACAAAAGTAGACTCAAAATGGATAAAAGACCTAAATGTGAGACAGGAATCCATCAAAATTCTAGAGGAGAACACAGGCAACAACCTCTATGACCTCGACCGCAGCAACTTCTTGCTAGACGCATCTCCAAAGGCAAGGGAAGCAAGGAAAAAAATGAACTATTGGGACTTCATCAAGATAAAAAACTTCTGGGGCGCCTGGGTGGCTCAGTCGTTAGGTGTCTGCCTTTGGCTCAGGTCATGGTCCCAGGGTCCTGGGATGAAGCCCTGCATCAGGCTCCCTGCTCAGCGGGAAGCCTTCTTCTTCCTCTCCCTCTGCCGCTCCCCCTGCTTGTGTTCCCTCTCTCACTGTGTCTCTCTCTGTCAAATAAATAAACAAAATCTTAAAAAAAAAAAAAAAAGATAAAAAGCTTCTGCACAGCGAAGGAAACATTCGACAAAACCAAAAGACAACCGACAGAATGGGAGAAGATATTTGCAAATGTCTTATCAGATAAAGGGCTAGTATCCAAAATCTATAAAGAACTTATCAAACTCAACACCCAAAGAACAAGTAATCCAATCAAGAAATGGGCAGAAGACATGAACAGACATTTTTCCAAAGAAGACATCCAGCTGGCCAACAGACACATGAAAAGATGCACAACATCACTCATCATCAGGGAAATGCAAATCAAAACCACAATGAGATACCACCTCACACCAGTCAGAATAGCTAAAATTAACAAGTCAGGAAATGACAGATGTTGGCAAGGATGCAGAGAAAGGGGAACCCTCTTACACTGTTGGTGGGAATGCAAGCTGGTGCAGCCACTCTGGAAAACAGTGTGGAGGTTCCTCAAAAAGTTGAAAAT